TAATAAACGTCAACTTTCATGGAACAAGACAATGTACTCGTTGTTGAGACAATAACTCCAACAATACATGCTATATTCAACTGAAATCTGGTCTACTAATTGTTTGAGATACATTACACAAGTAGTTTAAATTTTTAGAACGGGCGATAAACAACAAAATTTATATAACCAAATTGTTTTTTAAAGCGAAAAATACAAGACGAATTGAAGGAAGCTACTATTTCTTTAAAAGAGAGCGCTTTGCAAATAGTGGTCACCACCGTAAATATTCTTTTTGTCAACGCGACGGAAAACCTGTTCAACACCATGAAAAGCTGCCTACTGAGTCGAAAAAAATAGAATCTTTATTCCAGGATAGTCCCAAATTCCTGCTTTTCTCCGTGCTGACAAAAACTATTTTCGGTAGTGACCGCTAGTTGTTTAGCGCGCCCTCTTTTGAAAGAACATACAACATACAAAACAGTCAACTTACATGGAAAAAGAGGCTTATACTCCTTTTGGGGACTATAACTCAAAAAGTACATGTCATATTCATTTTAAATCTCATCGACTAATTGGTCGAGACATATAACACAAGGGGGTTGAAGTTTGAGAAAGAGCGATAAACAACAAATATAATATAACCACAACAACGAAGTGTGTTAAGCACGAAAAATTCAATTCTAATAAATGTCAACTTTCATGGAATAAAAAACAACGCACTCGTTGTGGAGACAATAACTCAAACAATTCAAGTTGTATTTAACTGAAATCTGGTCTACTAATTGTTCAAAACATATAACACAAATGGGTTTAATTTTGAGAAAGAGCGATAAACAACCACAAACATATAACCACAAAAAAAATCAGAGTGTTAAGCGCAAAAAAAAACGAAATTCTAACAATTTTTAACTTTCATTGAGCAAAACAACGCACTCGTTGTGGAGACAATTACTCCAACAATGCATGTCGTATTCAACTGAAATCTTGTCTACTAATTGGTCAAAACATATAACACAAATGGTTTAATTTTGAGAAAGAGCGATAGACAACAAAAATAATATAACCACAACAAAGCAGTGTATAAAGTGCGAAAAAATGCAACTTTAAAAATTGGCAAATTTCATGGAACAAAACAACGCACTCATTGTGGAGACGATAACACCAACAATCCATGTTACATTCCCTTTATTAACATCTCGTCTACCAATTGTTAGAGGTAATATAACACAAGCACTTCGAGTATTGAGAAAAAGCGATAAACAACAACAATTATATAACTAAGTTATCGGGACATTTAACACAAGGGGGTTGAATTTTAAGAAAGATCGAAAGACAACAAAAATAATATAACCAGAACAAAGAGGTGTGTTAAGCGCGAAAAACAATGCAATTTTAATAAAAGTCAACGGTCCGTCGGTCGGTCCCCGGAAAATTTACCAAAATCTCCTAAGTTTCTCATAAATTTAATTTAAAAAAAAACACAATGCAATTAAATACTACACAAAAATTGTTTACAATTCGAAAAGATGTTTATGAAAAAGTGTATCAATTGAGGCAAATGCGTGCAGTAAACTTGTCAAGTGGTATTTATCACAAATCGCTACAAATCTACATATAAATCGTAAGTATGGTGTTCCATATGTGCCTCGCATTTTCGGCGTCGCATTTTTGAGCTCTTGTAGGGACAGTTTTGATAGATTTCATACATGCAAGACTTTCATGCAAGACGCCTAGAGCTTATAGACCCTTATAATGCTGCCACCATTTCAGTCATGTTCCCTGTATACAATAACAGTACTGAATGTTTTCTGTGCAAACAGGAACTGGACTATTTTTCCTTCCAGCTGCTTTGGTTACGTTGATTTTAATGGGAAAAAATCAAGATGTCCGCAACATGATAATGGTCTGTTGTGCATTCGCACTTATTATTTTACTAATTATTTATTGAACTGAATGAGTTTGAAGCCCTTAAAGTCGGGGAAAAGCCTTGTTTTGCGTGTGGCCTCCCACATTTCATAGGTAACCTGCTAACAAGGAATACTGCTAAAGTACAATACTTAAAGGTATAATGTATTAAAAAAACAAAAACAAAAAAACCCACACACAGACGAACCTAAAAGAAATCGTTTAAAGGTCTATTTTATTCATACAAATTTGACAACTGATTTAAGTTGGACAAAACGAATACCAGTGTAAAACGAACAAATGCGTTCCTGCATGATTCGGTACTAAAATATACACACACATAACAATAAACACAACTGTCAATAGTAACGTCGATATAACTTAATAAATATCAATCATCTAGAGCTACGAAGTGGTTTGCACTGGAGCGTCTTTGCATATTTGACAAACTAGGATACATAACTCCTTCCATAGATTTTGTTTTAGAGAATTGTTTATGAATGACGGATGTAATTATCAACAGTGGGTTAAACAATTCTGCAATAAATACAAAGTACAAAACGAACACTAAACGCGTTCTGGAATACAGCCTCGATAACGAAGAAGATATACACGTATACTGGCCTTATAGCATGGGTACTCGATCCCGAATAAAAGCTTTACATGTATTGTTGTGTGAGACTTTTTTTAGCAACTGGGTTAACTTCTACCTAACAAGATATGACAAAATTTATCCCGGTTGGGAAAAAAACTGAGAGGCTTATCCCCTGTTTCATAAATAAAACAGTGACTTATTAGTCTTGTGAGGTGCTCTGGCAAAATGAGACACAACTGGGCAGAGGTCGAAATGAGGGATTGCGGGTATTAGGAAAGAGAATACAATTCTCCTTACAATACTGTTTGTTGCGCTCCAATCGGACATTTCGTTGAGAAGTTATGGACGTTTAAAGTTTGTACATGCACTTGACAGGTCCAAAAGTAAAATACTGAGGAAAAGGTATTTAAAGCTTCGAGTTTTGTATTCGTGGAAATGAAGGACATGCCAGTTGGTTTTCCTTAAAAACACTTTTATTCCACGATTTTGCACTATTCCTTTAAAAATATGTGGCTGACATATCAAAGATGATAAATATCAATAAAACTGAAAATCTTTAAAAAAAAAATTCACCACACTCAATTTTTTTTATGCATTTTCCCCACTTTGACCTGCGCCGAGTTGCCGGAACGCCGCACATTTCAGAAGAAAAAAGCTAGCTATTAAAGCAAACTCATGGCGATGCAAACATTTTCAGCACTTTTAAATATACAACACTTACAAAACAGTTCCAAAAATTACCTGTACTTTGTTTCAAAGATTGCACCACTTATCACTTGTCAGTATAAATAAATAAATACTAAGAACAGTTAAGCCATACCTATTGGTCGAGAGCCCATCATGTGGCTGGTTTTAAACCAATGACAAAGACCAGCTGGCTGGTCTTAAACACTTTTCCCATGTCACATGAAATTTGTACTCCTATGAAATCTGCCTTTTACCGTTTTATTGCTTCATCATTTACAATCCTCAAGTAGGCATGTGCAACACTACCAGTGAGTCAGTATTTCAGTCTTAAATTCACAACACATCGGCACAGCTGCATTCCGCGCCACATCGCAGTAGGCGCGACGTGCATGCCAATGTCCTGATAAGGAGTTGTTACCACTACTCGTGAGACTGGACATACCAGTTTTCATGCATAGCTAGAGGGATGTCCCGAAAAACATGAAGTTAACTTGTTGAACAAATTCGCTGGAAATTTATAATTTGTGACTTCTTTCGATTTTTGGACCAAAAAATGTTGATTTATTTGACAGAAAAGGCATTTATGAAAGGTATTTATTAAAGGTTTAAGACCGGTTGGAGTCTGGATGCTAAAAAAATTACCCTCGCCTTCCACTCAGGTAATGATCAGCATCCAGACTCCAACTGGTCTTAAACATAGTGTTTAAAACCGGCCAAGCACACATTCATTCCCTTATTATTCAGTCTCAAAAGTGGGCTGATTTCAAAGATCTGCTTTTAAAGCAGAAAGCTACTCAAATACAAGAACATTTACCTGCTCGGCAACAATCAGCCAAGAATGTATAAATAAAGAATGTACATGAATATTTACGTCTAAAGCAAAATACTACCTGTAAAAATTGAAACAAATACTCCCTTTCAGAATGTTGATACAGCGCTGGAGGCAGTGGTGGAAGGTGCGTGCTGTTGCAGAAAGCTCCTGAAGGAATGCAGGATCATCCCTGATGTCATTGCACACCTCCTCGATCGTGTGTTGTGCCAAACGATCAAGGAGGTGTGCAATGACATCAGGGGTGATCCTGCATTCTTTCAGAAGTAACGGCCGCAGCACGTGCCTTACACCACCGTCTCCAGCCCTGTATCGACATTGGAGGACGCCAATGAAGTTGAAAGTGGCAGATTCTGAAAAAAGGTACATTTTTCGTATGGCGTTTAAATTTCACTTGCTTGCACAAAGCTGATGAAACTCACTCCATAAAATTTGTCATGCCTTGTTTTACATGATGTTTGACACAAAGTACATGCACCATGTCCATTAATATCAAGCAATATAAAATCAACTTAGACTGAGCTGAGCAACTATCTATGTTTAGTACCTTCAAGTAATCGGCTAGTGGTGGGATTCAAATCCGGAATTTTGAAAACTCGGTTTGAATTCCACCATTCGGTTTGGATTTTGGGAACAGAATATTCAAAAGCAGTCTAACATACAAATTAAACCTTGCATTTTTTTGTGACACAAGCTAAAGGAAATATCTGGAACATTCTCCAGTTCGCTCCATGGTCTCTGATTGTGACCACATTCACTCACTCACAGATCTTCTTGGTTTATGAATGGCCTTGCTCATTCGACTGACCAGAGACTTCCCATCCAGTTTTTCATCATTACAACTCTGAGGTGATTATGCAAAGGCCAAGTGATCATTGAATCCTGCAAACTATATGCGACCATTGTAGAGGACATTGCATACGGCAACTCATTTGTCACTTTTTGTTGGCGTGATTGCAAGCTGAATAAGAACTTCAGGTGAAATCAGATACCCGTTATTTGGTTTAAAAAAAAAAAAAACAATTGGATAACTGGATATGAAAATCTCTGATTTCTCCCATTATAATTTGCCCAAGATTAGAATATAAAAATATATGCCCGTTTGAGTAAACTTCAGCCTACCAGATCAAAATAATGTCTCTGCATCTGTGCCCCAATGAAATGAAGCACACAAGAACTTAGCCTTGGTCAAGATGTAACAACAAATCGAATTGGCCACGGATTTCGTTGTTTTTGCACAAGACAACATGATATAGGAACATTTTGTTTAAATTTCAGTGGAAGTGATATTTTCTTGCCGGCTTTAAGTTACAGTAAGTCTTCTTCATCTCTTCTGATTCTGGTTTCTTGGTCTCGATGAACCTCTCCCTTTTGTCGTCACTTTTTGGCTGTTGATGTAGCGCACCATCTTCTTCTTCTCCTAGAACATGTAGAAGACGAGGGAAATCAAGTTTCTCATAAAATTTGTTTCTAATTCTCGAATTCGAATGATTCAGCCTGGTGAGGAAATGGCCCACACATTAATTTTGACTTCTTGTAAGCAATGAGAGGAAGAATTTGATTCCTTTTCAAAAAACAAATATGTCAGAAGGAAACTGTGGTTTAGGAATCATATCGTCCTGTCCGTGCAACAAGGTTGTATCTCCAAAAACAGCATTTACGTGAATTCACTGAAAGAGCGAGTTTTAGAATGTCAAAAGGTCATATCTTGCTTAAAATAACAAGGATTTACAGACAAAGTCCATGGACGTCGAGATACAACGTTGTTGCATGGAGTATGTTGCATGGAGTGTGTATGCGCGAGATAGGACTTTGTTGCAGAATCGAGGTGCTATCTTGTTGCACTGACAAGACAATATAGTACAGTGATTTTCTTCCTCTTTTGCTTACGGATGTCAGATTTGTGGGCCATTATTTTGACCAGAAAAAGTTTGTTCATTCAACTAAAAGTGCCTGCTTTATTTCAGGCTTTTAAGCAGACCCCGGAGAAAAAAACAAGAACAGTAGGATCAAAATCTAAGAATACTTCTGAGGTCAAAATCAGGATAAAAGTAGGACTTTTGTCCCATGCCCACAGCATCATTTGGCATGTTCTGTACTCACAACACCTGTGCTCCATCCTCCACTAAGGCCAAATAAAAAAAACATGTTTAGCGTCCTGCCTTTTTGAAAAAAAAAGAAGTAGGAGGCTCTTTTTTTTCCCCCTCCAAAATGGCCGCCCGACCGGGCTGTTTTTCAAGCTGGCCGCCAATTCTTTTTTTTTTAATGGCCGCCATTGGACTCAAGAAATGACATACCAGCTTTATGTGGGCTACATCCAACGGAGAAAGACGCCAAAATAATGTCAGTTTTTGTTTGATATTAGCAGAAAAAAAAGTAGGCGGCCTCCAAAAAGCAAGCGGGCGGGAACTAAACGTGCCTTTTTTTCTTATTTGGCCCAAGCTCATGGAAGTACAGATGCAGTACTCCAAAACAGCAGGAAAAGTAGGAGCAAAGTTTTTTTTAAAAAAAGGAAAAAATAGCAAAAGTAGGAAAACTTGAAGCCTGTAATTTACGTTGTTGCAGTTAAGATTTCACTGTTGATGAAATCTATTTGCAGAACCAGATGATCTTAATACAGGAAATTCTGCAAATTCGGAATTTGTAGAATATTTATATCTGTGGAGTAGGAAATCAGCATTGGGAAATCTGCAGAGCAAAGTCTGTTAAAAGGGGCACTAGGTCCTGAAATCCCTGAAAATTTCATGTTTTGGATTGTTTACTTAGCCTATTTCAAACATCTGGTTGAACGGAAACCAACCTAATGTCTTACCGTTTCCGAGAAAAGGAGAAAAAAAATCCCTGGTTGTTTACATCGGACACGACGGAGTACAAATCTGTTTTTCGTGTCTTTCTCATACAGTGTACGACATACACATTGTGTCTCGGGAACAGCGGTGACCAATCACCAATGCAAAAAATGTGGTTTCTTCACGAATGAAAATCACAACTATAGCATCCAAACAGCTTGAATTGATGGGGTCCCAAAAGTGGACCCCGAAATTCGTTCTCGCACGCATAATACAGGAATAACACAAAAACGCCCAGTTTTGAAAAGATAGTTGTGTGGATGTTCATATCCTAGTTTTAAATGTTCTTTCCGATTAACACAATCTCGTTCAAAGCGCGTTTTGTAGCCCAATTGGGCTGTTCCAGGACCTAGTGTCCCTAATAAGAAACATTGCAGGCCAGGAAAGTGTGAAGTTGGGGAAACTGAAGGAAAGCAGATGTATACAGTGTGTATCAAAAATAAATGCAAAATATAACGAAAGTAACTAACATATATAATATGGGTATGGTTTGAAAGATACGCCTTTCACGTTAAAATGAGACATCAAATGTCCAAATCTGATAATTGTTGACAGAGTTATGATTAATTTTCAAGGAGATGTCAAATTGGCCATGGGACCAAGTTTTGAGCATTGGGACAAAGGTAGCCTAATTGCCTCTGTGTGGATATTTGCCTGGCCGACAGAACTGTGTTTAGCAAGTGAACATAATTCTAAACACTTTCTTGCTATCACCTCATAGCAAGAAAGTGGTTAGAATAGTATTTACTCGCTAAACACATTTTTAAGAGGCCAGGCAATTATCCACACAGAGGCAATTAGGCTACCTTCATCCAATGACTAAAATCTGTAACTTGGTTCCGTGGTAAATTCGACTTCCCTTGGAAAATTTACTCATAACTCTGTCAAACATAACAGATTTGGACATTTGATGTCTCATTTTAAAGTGGTAAGGCGTATCTTTCAAATCATACCGATACTATCTATGTTGGTTACACATTCTATGTCTGGCATTCCATTTTTGTTTGCATTTTTTTGATACATGTTGTACAGGGAACGGAGGTAAAGGGATCTCTAGAATATCAAAGTCTGCAGAATAGCAAGGCCTGTAGTATAGGAAATTCATTCTTACAGTACCTTCTTGGGTTCCATAGGTCTATGATTCTTCCTATCTTCATCAGTGTCAATATACCCGTATTTCTCCAACAGGGACTCCTTTACATGCGTCTCATTTCTCACAGACGACTTCTCGATCCGTAACTGTGGAGTTATAATACAACAACATATTTTTTTTAATTGATCTGGTTATCAGAAAAGAAAATAAACCGGTGATCCGTGGATGGAAGGTGTCGCCTCTTTTCGTGGGCTGGCTAGCAAGTACCCATTTTCCAAATGGGAACGCTCTTAAAAACTGACCGTTATTATGCATACTGCAAATTATATGCTCATTTTCACGGCACATTGTAATGGTTTTTGTGCGGGTTTTCTTTTTGGGATTGATGTCAGAACTCTTTAACTATTTATTGAAATAATTGCTGAGTAAAACAAATTGGGGAAGGGGGGGGGGGGGAGAGGAGCCCCCTCTGCCACCCCACCTCTGGATACACCACTGTGTGTAACTCGGCTACCCTTCTTCCTGTGACCACTATGGCCCACTCAATGAATTCAATGCTTTACCGAGATGCTGCTGCTCTGGTCTTCTAGCTTGCCAGACTCCTGTAGGTTCAGTAAGACCTGTGAGGCTTGCTCCAGATCCCCCCTAGCGATGGACAGACACTGCCTCGCTTGCAGCTCGCTGGAACCAGGAAACATCTCAAGAAGAAGCTGGATGTTGTCATCGGTGACAGATAATGATGATGATGATGCTTCCGGAACACCCTGTGCCTGTCATAAAAAAAATAAAAATTTGAGATGATATACAATGTAATCAGCCACCTTGTCCAAGAGTGCATCATCGTTTTGTTTTGGAGAGGTGGGTTAAAATGCAAGCCTCAATGCAACCTTTTCCACAACATATTTGAAGGTACATGTACAGTAAACTCCGGCCAAGTTGACATAGTATAACTTGTTATATCGCTTAAACTGGCTATCTGACGAAATTCCTGATCGTCTCTAATGCAGTTCCATTGAAATTTTCATTTTTAAGTCGGCCTCTGTTAGTTGCCATTACGCCCAACTTGGTGCGTTACTTTCAGTTCTATTTCCTCAAACCACAAAAATTCCTCAGTATAAGTCGGCATCCCAAAAAAATACACCACCGTCACGTGCCCAAACAAAAAGGGGTTGCCCCAATACTGTGAGCAAATCAATAGCAATACCCCCTCTAGTCCTGCACGCATGCACTCTGTCCATTTGGGGTTCCTGTATTGAATTAACTGTACTGTGAGCACATCAATACTCTAGGCTCTAGTCTTACACGCATGCGCTCTGTACATTTTGGGGGTCCCCAAAATGACAGTGCAGAATTAAAGCCGGAGGTTACTGTATTTACAATATTTGCAGAAAAAGAAAAAACTACCACATTACATACATGTATTATGAAAAACCTTACTTCAATGTAAGTGAACAATCTAAAGCATCCAGTGAATTCATATGGCACCTGGTGTGCTGTTATTTGCAAGAAAAGAGGAATTTTTGTATCAATTTCCAACGATGGTCGGCAGAACCAGATGATCTTAATACAGGAAATTCTGCAAATTCGGAATTTGTAGAATATTTATATCTGTGGAGTAGGAAATCAGCATTGGGAAATCTGCAGAGCAAAGTCTGTTAAAAGGGGCACTAGGTCCTGAAATCCTGAAAATTTCATGTTTTGGATTGTTTACTTAGCCTATTTCAAACATCTGGTTGAACGGAAACCAACCTAATGTCTTACCGTTTCCGAGAAAAGGAGAAAAATCCCTGGTTGTTTACATCGGACACGACGGAGTACAAATCTGTTTTTCGTGTCTTTCTCATACAGTGTACGACATACACATTGTGTCTCGGGAACAGCGGTGACCAATCACCAATGCAAAAAATGTGGTTTTTCACGAATGAAAATCACAACTATAGCATCCAAACAGCTTGAATTGATGGGGTCCCAAAAGTGGACCCCGAAATTCGTTCTCGCACGCATAATACAGGAATAACACAAAAACGCCCAGTTTTGAAAAGATAGTTGTGTGGATGTTCATATCCTAGTTTTAAATGTTCTTTCCGATTAACACAATCTCGTTCAAAGCGCGTTTTGTAGCCCAATTGGGCTGTTCCAGGACCTAGTGTCCCTAATAAGAAACATTGCAGGCCAGGAAAGTGTGAAGTTGGGGAAACTGAAGGAAAGCAGATGTATACAGTGTGTATCAAAAATAAATGCAAAATATAACGAAAGTAACTAACATATATAATATGGGTATGGTTTGAAAGATACGCCTTTCACGTTAAAATGAGACATCAAATGTCCAAATCTGATAATTGTTGACAGAGTTATGATTAATTTTCAAGGAGATGTCAAATTGGCCATGGGACCAAGTTTTGAGCATTGGGACAAAGGTAGCCTAATTGCCTCTGTGTGGATATTTGCCTGGCCGACAGAACTGTGTTTAGCAAGTGAACATAATTCTAAACACTTTCTTGCTATCACCTCATAGCAAGAAAGTGGTTAGAATAGTATTTACTCGCTAAACACATTTTTAAGAGGCCAGGCAATTATCCACACAGAGGCAATTAGGCTACCTTCATCCCAATGACTAAAATCTGTAACTTGGTTCCGTGGTAAATTCGACTTCCCTTGGAAAATTTACTCATAACTCTGTCAAACATAACAGATTTGGACATTTGATGTCTCATTTTAAAGTGGTAAGGCGTATCTTTCAAATCATACCGATACTATCTATGTTGGTTACACATTCTATGTCTGGCATTCCATTTTGTTTGCATTTTTTTGATACATGTTGTACAGGGAACGGAGGTAAAGGGATCTCTAGAATATCAAAGTCTGCAGAATAGCAAGGCCTGTAGTATAGGAAATTCATTCTTACAGTACCTTCTTGGGTTCCATAGGTCTATGATTCTTCCTATCTTCATCAGTGTCAATATACCCGTATTTCTCCAACAGGGACTCCTTTACATGCGTCTCATTTCTCACAGACGACTTCTCGATCCGTAACTGTGGAGTTATAATACAACAACATATTTTTTTAATTGATCTGGTTATCAGAAAAGAAAATAAACCGGTGATCCGTGGATGGAAGGTGTCGCCTCTTTTCGTGGGCTGGCTAGCAAGTACCCATTTTCCAAATGGGAACGCTCTTAAAAACTGACCGTTATTATGCATACTGCAAATTATATGCTCATTTTCACGGCACATTGTAATGGTTTTTGTGCGGGTTTTCTTTTTGGGATTGATGTCAGAACTCTTTAACTATTTATTGAAATAATTGCTGAGTAAAACAAATTGGGGAAGGGGGGGGGGGGGAGAGGAGCCCCCTCTGCCACCCCACCTCTGGATACACCACTGTGTGTAACTCGGCTACCCTTCTTCCTGTGACCACTATGGCCCACTCAATGAATTCAATGCTTTACCGAGATGCTGCTGCTCTGGTCTTCTAGCTTGCCAGACTCCTGTAGGTTCAGTAAGACCTGTGAGGCTTGCTCCAGATCCCCCCTAGCGATGGACAGACACTGCCTCGCTTGCAGCTCGCTGGAACCAGGAAACATCTCAAGAAGAAGCTGGATGTTGTCATCGGTGACAGATAATGATGATGATGATGCTTCCGGAACACCCTGTGCCTGTCATAAAAAAAATAAAAATTTGAGATGATATACAATGTAATCAGCCACCTTGTCCAAGAGTGCATCATCGTTTTGTTTTGGAGAGGTGGGTTAAAATGCAAGCCTCAATGCAACCTTTTCCACAACATATTTGAAGGTACATGTACAGTAAACTCCGGCCAAGTTGACATAGTATAACTTGTTATATCGCTTAAACTGGCTATCTGACGAAATTCCTGATCGTCTCTAATGCAGTTCCATTGAAATTTTCATTTTTAAGTCGGCCTCTGTTAGTTGCCATTACGCCCAACTTGGTGCGTTACTTTCAGTTCTATTTCCTCAAACCACAAAAATTCCTCAGTATAAGTCGGCATCCCAAAAAAATACACCACCGTCACGTGCCCAAACAAAAAGGGGTTGCCCCAATACTGTGAGCAAATCAATAGCAATACCCCCTCTAGTCCTGCACGCATGCACTCTGTCCATTTGGGGTTCCTGTATTGAATTAACTGTACTGTGAGCACATCAATACTCTAGGCTCTAGTCTTACACGCATGCGCTCTGTACATTTTGGGGGTCCCCAAAATGACAGTGCAGAATTAAAGCCGGAGGTTACTGTATTTACAATATTTGCAGAAAAGAAAAAAACTACCACATTACATACATGTATTATGAAAAACCTTACTTCAATGTAAGTGAACAATCTAAAGCATCCTGTGAATTCATATGGCACCTGGTGTGCTGTTATTTTCAAGAAAAGAGGAATTTTTGTATCAATTTCCAACGATGGTCGGCCGACCATCGTTGGAAAAACCAGACCTTTTTCAAATAATGCCTTAAATTTACCAAAGTTAGTTAGTTCAATTTTTGCCAAATTTAGTTAGTTTGTAATCAGTTACACATCTGCAAACGAGTGCAAGCCAGCTAGTCTGGTTGCGGCTGACCCGACAATTCCCTATCTATAAATTGCTCTGTTTTGTCTGAAGTAGGGTCAGGGAACCAGACTACAAGACGGGTATTTTTTTCCCCAGCATCTACGAATACAAAACTTCAAACAGGTCAATGTTAAGGCCATTCAGGAAAGTCGACGTTTAAAAATTTTGATCTTTTTTTCAAAACTGTTTTGACCCACCAACCCACCCCACTCCCTTATTGCATTCAACAACATAAACTTGATAAAATACTTTAATTGTTGTTAAACAATTACTTAATTTAATGTTTTTAAACAATTACTTAAGACCCATCTTTTTATGAGAGCTTTTTATTGATTTTTTGTACCCTGTATCAGTGTTCATTGTATTGTTGAACTTTGCGTATACGTCTGTTTATTTTTTATTTTTTTATGACTGTAATGCGCATTTGAACACATTTTAAATGGAATTTGCGCACTATAAATTAATAAATTATAAATTATTATTATTAATTGGATTCAATTTTAAAAAAAAATGCTGTCTCAAATACCATTTTGCACCATAAACAGGATAAAATATGCTTACAAGTACATATATCTTTAATGCTTGAGGTTCTTTGGTTAAAGATAAACAGTTATCAACAAAATAAACATTTCAAGCAAAAGTCAGTTTGGGTATACATGTAGTTTGGGTGACTTGGGAAGTACTTGGTTAATACTCACGTTACATTTTTGGTTACTCACGTTACAAAAGTTACTCACATTACCAAAGTTAGTTGCCTAAATGTGTGTATTTGTGTCAACAAAACACTTATATTTAATATCTATGTTCATGCAAAGGATGAAAATCCTAAAAACCAAAATTTAATTCATTAGAAATGTTGGTGAGATATAACTTTTATATTTTTCGGTTAATACTCACATTGCATTGACCTAAAAAGGTATAAAATGCTACTTTCTGACATCTAAAAATGGATGACGGCTGTGGATTGACATATGTTTTGGAGATTATGCTACTAAATAAGGTTACGATTGAAATATCTCTAATTGCATGAATGGCATTAATAGCAATCAAGGTTTAAACTTTACCAATATTTTCTGTTCTTTGTATATTTTTCACTTTATGTTTATGACATGATTTCTCAAAAAATTGGGTTTTCTTTGTTAATTTCTCATACTTGGATGTTTAATCTGTAACAAATATATGAAACTGGGTTAAAGGGACACAGGGTCCTTGAACAGCCCAATTGGGCTACAAAACACGCTTTGAACAAAATGATGATAGTCTGAAAGAACGATTAAAAGTAAGATATAAACCTTCCCACAACTATCCTTTCAAAACTGAGCGTTTTTGTGTTATTCCTGTATTATACGTGCGTGAACGAATTTCGGGGTCCACTTTTGTGACCCCAAAATTTGAGCTGTTTTGATGCTAGTTGTGATTTCATCCGTAAAGTGATTCGCTTTTTGCGGACTTTTAAGAAACCATATTTTGTGCGTTGGTGATTGGTCACCATGCGCTGTTCGCGAGCACGGTGCTGTGTATAGGCCTACATATCGTACGTACTTTGACTGAAAGTGAAAACGACAGGAAAAGCTTATTCGTACTCCGTCGTGTCCGATGTAAACAACTGAGGTTTTTTCATCTTTTTCTCGGGAACGGTAAGACATTAGGTTGGTTTCCTTTGAACCAGATGTTTGAAATAGGATAAGTAAACGATCTAAAAACATGAAATTTTCGGGGATTTCAGGACCTAGTGCCCCTTTAAAAAATGAAACGTTTTCTTCTTAGCCATGTCCATCAAACCGTGGAATTGCCCTCATGGTTCCACACACCTACGGTACATGTACGGTACATGCACAAGAGCAGTCGGGTACAATGTACAAGTACTGTTTGTCATGTACATGTACATGTACCTCCACAACCATGTACATGTATGCTTGAGGTCACAGACAGTGTCTCATGAAATGCTATTCATGCCAACCAGGAATTTCCAATACGAGAAATTGTGTTCATGAGAAAAACAGTTTAACTGTGACGTAACAGCTATGCAGTGACCTTGTATTTGACTGTGGTAGTGAGGCACTACCATGATATGAATACATACATGTACATTGTGCATTGTACATGTACATGGACGTGTACAAAACGTACGGTACGGTACGGTAGTGCTGTTATACAGTGTACTGTACCATGTACATGAAGTGCACAAAAAGGGTGTGGCTGATTCTGCCAACAGACTGCATGCAGGAAGAGCCTTTCAAACGGTACCTAAAGCAGCTACTTTCCGGTAAGTGAATAATGATAATGCAGCTAACATGAGAAATATACAAAAATAATAATACAGTATAAATTGCACCCCAATATAAGCCTATACAAGGTGAGTTAAAACAAGAGGAAACCCAAATGGTGCTCCCTATTTTTTAAAGAATTTCTGCATGGAGCGTTTTCCAAATCTAGGATATGAAAGCCCAATTAATGAGTTTTCTTTTTAGTGAAAGCATCATTCTAATCGCTCATGTACATGTACTTTTCCAGTTGTGGAAGTTCGGAACAGAAACACTGTTTTTTAACCTTATACACGGAACACATTTAAGGTACGTGATATTTCCGTGAAAATGAAACCATGTCGTATCCTGAAAATGATATCAGAATAATCCCATACATCTCCGAGGTGTCCAAGTTGAAGGCAAAGCAAGATTTTAAACTCTTGTCATTGTAAAGCGTGATATTTCACTAACTGGACGTATCATTTTAACATTGGTTTTTAAATAAATGCTGTGATAAGGGTCTACGTATCTTTAGTGTGATCCGTGGACAAGGTTTAAAAAAAAGGGTGTTTGTGTTCAAAATTCCAAACTGGAAAAGTACATGAGCGATTTCAATGATTCTTTCGCTAAAAGAACGAATTGGGCTTTTACATCCTAGATTTAAAAGCACTACATGTGTATGCAGAACTTCAAAAAAAAATAGGGGGTACAATTTGGGTTTCCCTTTTTTTTTACTCACCCTGCTACTGGCTTTTGGGGGTACGTATCCCAGACTCACTGAATTAACTGTCCGTAATATTTTTATTTCTACATTCCGTTAACTTAAATCCTCGATCCTGATTGGTCAATCAATGTCCACAACGTTGTATTATTCTGTGTGTATTACAGCTGGCACAAAAAGAAACTACATGTAAGCAGTTTTGTTTGGACATTTGTCGGTGAACAAAATATCTGAAATATACGTTTTGTCATGAAAACTTTCCGGTGCAATTTGATACCTCACTTGGGAACACTGCGTAAGAAATAACGAAAGCGCAAGCGTTGAAAGCTCCTGAAACCCCAAAACTAAAAGTTGCACTTAGTAAGATTTTCATTCCATGGGCATTGCAACACACACTTGAATGCAATGATGCAAATCCCCCGCATTTCAATTGTGTGTTGCAATGACCATTGAAAATCTCACTGAGCACAATTCCGTTTTGGGGTTTCAGGAGCTTCAGCATTTGCATTCTCATGATTTCTCTTACACAGTGTTCACAAGTGAGGTAACAAGTTGAACCGGAAAGTTTCTGTGATAAAACTTGTAGGCCCTTTCTCAGAATTTCTTTTTGTTCAACGAGAAATATCGAAACAAGGATGATTATAAAAACTGCTTAGTTTCTTTACAGTGCCAGGTGTATTTCCATCTTTAATGTGAATTAAGTTCGCTTGCATTCGTTATCCCACTTGTGCTTGTGGAACACAGAAGAAATATTGTTCGTCTCTGTCCCACATGCCACTCAGCCTTCAGCATCATGGCATATGAGATGCAGAGGCACTACATTATTCTGTGCTTTACTTACACTTGTGGTGTTGTCAATGTACCTACCGAGTACACGTTGCTGTTTTCTTCTGGACAGAATCAAATTGAATGGAATACATTTACATACTGTAAACTGTTAGTGGACTTACTGAACATGAGTCAATCTACAAAATGTACATGTACCGATATGTGGACAGTTCAAAGGCATTTTTTTTTCACACACTTTCAGAGTACAACTAAGCAAGATGGCAGAAGGAGGTGTGACTGATCTAGTCTTGGATGAGACTCAGAAGGTACCTCAAGAATGTCCCATCTGTTACACTGAGTACAAGGATCCTAGGATGCTAGACTGCTCACACAGCTTCTGCCTGAAATGTCTGCAAGAACTCAAACGGACACAAAGTAAGGACGACAAGAATATCGTCTGTCCCTTGTGTCGAAAGGAAACTGCCCTGACTGAAGCTGGTGTGGACATTCTACCTGGAGGATCAAAGGATGTCAATCAAAAGGAACAGACTGAAGGTCAGGGGTTAAAAGTCCTGTGTCAGACATGTGATGGGGAAAATGAAGCCATTTCTCGATGCATGGATTGCAAGCATTATCTCTGTCAAGATTGCCAGAAGGCGCACAATCGATTTGCAGCACTGAAGGCTCACAAGATAGTGGCTTTGACAGAGCTACATGGTGAGTCTGAAGAAGAGGAAACTGAACTCAAGAAAGTACCCAAATGTCGCAAGCATCCAGATCAAGATCTCTGTCTGTATTGTAACTCATGTGAAGTCCTCATATGCAATGAATGCACGACCTTTGATCACAAAGAATCAATGCATTCTCACGTCAGTATTGACCAGGCGGTCAGCAGATGTAACCAAGAACTAAATGAATCCATATCTAAAACAGAAGGGTACATTAAAGCATTCACTTCTGCCAACCCCGTTTCAATAGATCATTCACGTTACAGACTTGACAAGATGCTCGCCAAAACGTACAACCAAATTTCCAACAAAGCAGAAAAAGAAATTGCCAAGATCAGAGAGAAAGAGAAACAACTCAAAAAACAAGCCAGGGACATCGCCATGAAACGAGATAAAGACTTTGCATGTACAGCAACACCACAGCAGACTCCGAGTAAGGTGAAAGAAGTAATGACTACAGCAACGCGCTATGAGATCCTGGAGACCAAGAAGAAAATGCTGAAGGATTTGAAAGAGCAGGTGGAGGTGCACAAGAGTTTGGATATCAAGCATGGGAAGTCATTCCTTGGCTTAAAAGAGAGTGAAGAGGATGGTCAGCTTGGGACTCTGCTCTTGGAGGAGAAATGGGAGTTGAAGACCTACAATACAGATGTTTATGGTGGAGAACATCTTGCAGCATACTCCACAAATGAAATGGTTGTGGCAGGCAGCAATAAACTGTCTACATTGAATCCAGAGGGGAAGATGATTTCTACAAAGACCTACAAACCTGACCCTGATAAACCAAATGAACCCCATGACCCTAATGACATACAGAAAGCAACAGCTCTAGCCATCAACAAGGACGACCAACTTCTGATCCTAGACAATCCTGCAGTCAAGACCTTCAACAAAGAATACCAGCTCCTTCATCAGTTCCTACCAGGTAAAGAGGCCGGCGTGGACGGCACGCCGAAGTGCCTGGCAGTGGACAGCAGCAATCTGATAGCAGTGGGTTACAAGGACCAGGAACAGATATCTCTACACAACCCAGATGGTTCCCTCGTCAGAACACTGCCTGCTCCAAAGATTGATACATATTTGATCTTCAGCAACAAGAGACTTATTTACACCAATAGCAGCGAGGGCTTGCTGATGGCTGTTGACTTACACGGCAACTCACTGTTTAATCAAAGTTGCAATTCTCCTCGTGGGTTGTGTTGTGATGATGCAGGTGATATTTACCTTCTTCTTGCCTCATATGACACTTGCCATTTCAGTGCAGATGGCAAGTACATTGAGAAATGGGGCTTTTTGGGCACGTATGGTGACTTTGATATCACATACACACCTGATCACAAATTAGTAGCTACAGGAAGAGAGCACTCTCGGTTGTACATGTATCACTCTGCTTAGAGACATAACCAACATGGAATTGCAAATTCAAGTGATCAAAATAAAAGGGAGGGAATACTTTTTTTCGTACAAAAATTGTATCAATATATTATCTACATAAAAAAATGTACATTATTGATGCTAGTGCATGGACATGTGAAATGTGAAACTTTCTGTTTGCAACTTCACAAACAGGACAGACATAAAATAAATTTGAACCGGATATAGGATTGTACAAATACAAAGTTTACATGTACATGTGTTGTTAAAATATTGAATTTAGTATCTCACAGTAGGTCTATGTACTGTATGTACATGTATTTCGGGGCTTGTACTTGTAGTGTTAAAAGTAGAAGTGCTTATTTGATATGCATGTAACTTTTTAAATTCCCAAAATTACCACATTTGTCCCAAATTTGTAACATGCTTCAGAAGTGCAGCAATATTTGTTTTCATGGGGTATTCTTTTAAAAGCAAAAAATATACTTAACTAGAAGTTCGCATTTGTTTAGTTACAAACGCAGAGTGGTCAGGCAGGCAATTTTTTTCAATAAACACTGCCGAGTTAAGTAATGCATATGTTTATGTAAGAATTAAAGGATCACAAAATTAAATCCTTTTCGGTACAATCAATTATTTTGTTTAAAAAATGTATCTTTAGCAGTGTGATAAATTTCAGTAAACATTCTATGTACACATACAAGTTATTTATGGCTCGATGACGTTATTAGTAAAAAATGGGAAGTGAATACTGATTTAGTTTGGAGTGGATAAATGTTCATTGTGAAGTTAAATAATGTATGAATATATATGGAAAATGTAATTGTATGTATTAATAACACCTACATGTAACTTCTGGTTTGATGACCTCACAGTATTTGGAAGCAAAGGTCAACATTGTAATGGATCATTATTTGGGCTACAAAGATTTACGACATGGATCTAATGATAGAATTAAATTTGAAATACATGTATGATCGTTTTAAAATTCCCCTTGAAGTAACTTCCGGTCTGATGACGTCATACATTTGAAACCTTGCCAAGTTACCGGTACCTGTGGTTAATAATCAGAGAATGTCACGGGGCGATTTGGTAAAATTTGAACCGATGGTTTTAAAATTAGAGAAAACAAATACTGTTTCGGATGAAGACGTCATCACACTGATTTTTGTGTCTGGCATTCCTCACTAAACACTTTCATAATATATGTCTGTAGTAAAATGCTTCCGCTTCTGAGTTATATTCAATTTTTATTACACTTCCGGTAACACCGGAAGTTAAGGTCAAGTGGTTTTGTGTCCGGGAACAGAAAATGTTTCTCACGAAAAACGGATACAATACTCTATTTAGTTCAAAAGATATACATGTAGGGCAAACTATTTTGTCAAAATTTGCCCTTAAATCACTTGTACTTTGATACCTGATGACGTCATGATGACGTAACAAAATTTGTAACATCTTCATAACATGGTACAAGTTCACACAAGGTTTTATGATCATACCGTAAACCGTTCGGAAGAATTTTTGCTTTGTTTTGATGATCTCAGGCTAACGTCTTCATTTTGGATTCACCTAACCTTTGACCTCCCGGTAGACCCGGAAGTAAAGGTCAAGCGCGTTTACGTACAGGACAACATTTTTTTTAGCAATCAATGGTCTATCTGATTACAGAACACAAACATCATTGATTATTTTGTTCAAGACTTTTGTAGCTAAAATCGCTTGTAATTTGACACCTTATGACGTCAGAGTAATATGCACCACTTCGGATGAAGGTCGATATTGAAAGTTACAGGTTCATATCATGAACCGTTTAGGTAAAAACCTGCGGAGAAGTGTTGTCCGGGAAAAGAAAGAAAGAAAGAACGAAAAAAACTAATTGATGCAAGCGCATTATGGTAATTAACTATACATAATTTTAGAGAAAAAAAAAATGGCTTGCGGGATCTCGCACAAAAATGCAAACGCGATGGCGGCCATGTTTTATCGCCAAAAATTATATCAGCATTGCACTAGTCTTCAATTCAAGCCTGGTTTCACCTCTGAGTGAGTGCCACTTTTGTATCCAACTGTGTTGTAGTGCTGTATTGGCCTGCAAGAGTTGTACCACAAAAAACCCCGGACCATTACCGACTTGTAATTAAGTCTACTTCAATGTTACGCTTAAGCCAACCTCGTCCCCATATGCTCGAAGGGTCACGCATGCTATCTCTGAATTTTATCTACCATTTGAACGAGGTGAACTATCCAGACGCGGAGGTTGGCTATCGAAACAAGGTTGACTGATACATGTACATGTATGACAACAGAACAGCACAGACATGTTGGATGATCTCAAAGAGGCTTCTGGGGGTTTTTTTGCCCTTTTTTTTTTTTATTATTTTTTTTCAATTACTTTAACTGAAACCTGAATTTCGATTTTCATTTTTCCTTTGACCCACCCACCAACAATTTCTAAAAAAAACAGATCAAAACTGTTAAACTTTTTTTAAACACTGACTTTTCTGAATGGCCCTTACAAAATTTGCTATAAAATACTAACCACCAAATCAATTCCATTACTGAAAAGCAAGTGTTGTATATTATCTTTACACAACCACATTTGGCAAATTTCAACAAGTTGTTTCACATTATTTTTCGGATTTTTCAATGATTTTTCAAAGCAGTCACATTTTACGAGGCACTATATTTTACAGATAATAAAAACCGACTCACAATTTTGTCAGTGGCCTTTAAGGATCCACCGCATGTCTGGCTGTAACCGTCACCCTGAAGCATAGCCTGTACGGCTTGCTCCACGTCGCCGTTGGAGTCCGACAGACATCGCTTCACATCCACCTTGCAAGAGTCTGGGAACATCTCGGCCAGGAGCTTGATTTTGTCGTCCATATTTCTTGATGATGGCCCATTGCTCACTGTTTTCTGAAATTGGAGCAGACATCAAACCCTCAAAGAAAACAACAGACCTCTCATAGGAGCTACAGAATGCGTGTGTAATCTGATTCTTGTGCATACAGAAAGTTTAGTGATGTTTGTCTGATTTTAAAAAGAAAATTTCAGCAAAATATTCCTCTAGGTATATAGCTCTCAAAGCACGTCCGAAAGTGGCATTGAACAAAAGTGTAGCATTTGACAAACAATAAAACCATGCTGCCCGCATATGCAGAGTATTTTATCAACTCCTCAAGATCGCTAGATTTTTTGAATAGTTGAATAAAAAAACTATTCATAAGATGGAATTTGAGTTAGGGTGATGTAAATTCATAATTAGGTTTTGCCCTATATAAACACTGTATACCGAGTGTGTTACCCCAGAGTTATAGTGAGAAAAAAAAAGTCAGTTGGGACATGAACCCACGACCTCCTGCTTTCTAGTGTACACGTCTTACCACCCGACCACCGAGCTTGCCGGGATCGGCTGGCTGGTTCAAATTTCATGTACATGTAGCAGCATTACCGCAAGGAAACTATTCATACGATGAAATTTGCATCAGGCTGATGTAAATTCAATATTAGATTTTGCCCTTCACTGACGTATAAACACTGTACAGTACACTCAGTGTGTTACCCCCTGAGTATAAGTGAGAAAAAATCATTCGTGTGGGACTCGAACCCACGACCTCCTGCTTTCTAGTGCAGACGTCTTACCACTCTACCACCAAGCTTGCCTGGATCAGTTGGCTGGTTTGAATCTGATGTAGCAGCAGCTACTGCAACAAAACTATCCTATAAAGAATTTGCATCAGGGTGATGTAAATTCAATAATAGGTTTTGCCCTAATGCTATTCGGATATTCGGTTGATGATCGAATATTCGAATATTCGGTTTATTGGGCACTCCCTTCAAATAAACCAGAGCATGCATACCCGAAACTCGGTCTTCTTCCCCTTCTTAACACTGCTGCAGCTGCTGATGTTCTCCTGTCGTCTGTTGACGCTTTCCGACGGACTGTAAGGAAGCTCAATATCCTCTGGACATGCTGGAAGAGCGACTGATTCTTTCGTTGTCGTATTCTCTTTAACTGATGGTGGGGATGATGGTGGAGTTCCTGGAAAAAGGACGAGCGAGTGAAGGAAAGAATTATTCAGCCGGGGAGATCACTTGGTAGTGAAAACATTGTGGGGAACAACGTCCAGAATCTTTGGAGGCAAAGGCAATGCACAGACTACAGCACTGTAGTCATCTACACTCCTTTTTTAAAATTATTAACCCTAACCTTCTCAACTCCTCTAAAATGCTCTTTGCAAAACGGACAATTTTGCAGGTTTTGAGACTTTATGGCAAAAATGTGTGTTTAATTTTGAAGGATGCACTGTTTCAAGGTCTTGGGCCAGACCTTGTGTTGTTTATGCTCAGCAGTGCATAAATTTAGGTCTAGATTATACAGGAAATCCTTGGCACTGCTCCAGGTTGTCACTGGCACTGTCTCAACATACTGACAGTGATTGCTGGAGGATTTTGCAGGATTGAGGCAGTGGTCACCCCTCCAAGGACCGCATTCAAGAAATAACGGATGGTTTTGGAGGACTGAGGCTGTATGCAATATTTACATGGAGGCAGTTGGAGGACTTTGCAGGATTGAAGTTGCTTCCTAGCCAAAATACCTGGGGAGTTAATAATTAAAGAAAAAAAAGTTTTTTGGGGGGGGGGGGGGGGGGGGGAATGGCCCCAGTGGTTCCCCTTCCCCCTCTGTACCCCTTTCCCTTCCCCCCATACCTACTAGTGATCTAATTGATGTTCCTGTGAAGCTGAAGTCAATTAGCTTACCTAATGAATACGTTGCTGACAAGACCTCTTCCGACAGTTGAAATATCCACTCGCAGACTGTGGCACTGTATGTTATGACAACAGAAATTCAGTGAGTTTTATGAAAGTGAATGTCTCAAAATCACAAACAAGACCATGTTGACCATCTCCAAATAATAAGGCTTCTTTTATGTTTGCGGTAGCACCATGTGGAATATCTCCGTGTCCGTGGAATATCTCCGATGCATCGATTACGATAACGAGAAGAGTGGATCTCGTTTGTAAACACAAGTACATTTCGAACGATAATTAAGGGAGTCGGGAACTAGGGCAGCTTTTATGGGCGGAAACCAGTTCAAGTTAGTTCCCGACTCCCTTTTACAGTTCAAAATGCACTTGTGTTTACAAACGTGATCCAGTCTTCTCATTATCATAATCGATGCATTGCGCTCGGTAACAGAATCGCACTTGGGATACATGAGTACAGAAACCATCGAATGTACGCTGGGCATGATGACCACATCGCCTCGTTCAAACATAACGCGAGTCGGAAATTTAACGTGTTCATGATCGCGAGGGGAGCTCTCTGAATTGAATGGGAAATTTCACTTTTCAGTACCTCAATCTTAATCATCGATCTCTACTTGTACCTCAGGTGGCGTATTTAGTTATTTGGAGCCGTTTTGAGGTTGAAATCTGATGTTTTTGTTGGGCAATGTTTGGTTTTTGGGTCAATGACAAAATTGTGTTGACGGATTGATGCGGTTTAGCTTGGACCCCACTACCGCCAGACCATGTCCGAAAATTAAAAAGGCATTAAGTTGGGTCCAAGTTACTCGGACTATCCCGAACCATGGGCACACCTGGTCGAACCATGGGCACACCAGACCCGAACGATGGGCATGCCAGACCTGAAACATGGGCTAATCGGGCCCAAACCTATGTTTGGCACTCCAGGCCTGGAGAAGCATAAATGAGAAAATGGACTTGAAGCTGAAACCACATACATGAATTATTCACGGCAATATACAACAATGTGACCACTACCAACCTGGTGATGTCTTTGAAGCCAGGTATGTAGGCCTCCATCATCTCCACGAAATCTCCAACATCAAACTCATCGTCATTCCCGACATCTTCAAGAACACCCACCACATAATTGAGGACAATGTCATCAATGGCACTAAGGGGAGGGAGACACACAAAGAGGAAAAGCTGTGATCCGTAGCCTTCATGTCTATACGACTTTGGAATATTGAGCAAAGACTACACTGAACTCTTTGCAAATTCATTTGGCTTGTGATGTTTTCAATTATTTATGCATGTTAGTAAGAGGGGGTATTTTCAACCGAGGTGAGAATCCTACCAATCGCTATTAAGCACAAACTTTAGTTCTGACTAGGGTTGATTATATGCTGCAAACAAAGTAAGTGCATGGTCATGTTTTGTTAAATTATAGTCTCAGATCTCACACTCTCAGCGACACTTGTAGATATTAAGTTACTAGAGCGCCAACTCCTTATTCTTGCGCGCGGAGATGCTCTGAAGCCGTCCTGGGCACAGACATTTTGAATTCATGTGCGTGTTTTTAGAACATAATGAAACTAGATGGATTGAATTTTGTATGTGTACTCTAAATGCAACGCACAAGCAAACTGACGATTAAAAAAAAAAAGCATCATTGTGATCATCTGCAGCGAATACGCACACGCATTGCGCTGTTTCCGTACAGCAAAATGAAACGATCGTGCATTTTGGTTTTGGGTGCATCGACTTCGATAACGTAGCTGTATAGAATACAAACGCAGATCTATATGCAAATAGCCGAACAAAAGCCGTACAAAATTTTGAGTTTTCGTCAGGTTTGTGCACAAGCATGGATGCTCCCTGCAGGCATCACGTATGCGTCGGCGGTCCAGTAATTTAATATAGCTCTATGGTAACACTCAACTGGAACTGTGTGGGAACTGTGTCAGCCAAATGCGGAAATAAAAGGTTTGAGGTCAACAATTCCAGATTGGTCGGGTGCGTGTACAGTTGGTAGCTGTAAAAACGTTAATGAATGGGTTTTTCTTGGGGGGGGGGGCTCAAAAGCAAATTTGCACTCATGTTTTGGTTTCACACCAAGTTGCTCAGACGTGTCACAAGTGGAGAGATTTTGGAAAGATTTCCATATACGAAGTTCACTAATTTTCCTCTGTATTAACTAACAAGCCCCCAGATAGCAATTTCATGTCATCAAAGTCAATTTGAGCAGTGAGGAAATACAAGCATTTTCTTAGAAAACAGTTAGAATTTTTCAGTCCAATCTCATAGGGCTTGAACAGGGTGTTGAGTGAACTTCGTATATGGAAATCTTTCCTAGATTTTTCCTGAACAGAAAGCATGAGTAGTAACATACATGTACATTGTAAGTTATAGGCCTAATCTCAAAACATGGTTACTGAAACATCTTCTCGCCTAGAACTTACCCAATGGATGACTGTGGTAGATGCATAGTCAAGAAACTGTCCAGTGCCGAAGTAACAATGTCTTTCCTATGCAGCCTTGGCATGCTTGGGTTGATTACGTGCATGCATGTGACTCTGAATAGTTAGTGTACATACTCGCATCAAATCCAAATGTGAATGTGATCCTGTCAGAAAATGTTTTAAAAATTAGACAATCTATACAAAAAAAATGTAGTGGCTGTCGTTACGACGACCGTAATGCAATTTCAAATGCTATCGTTACCACATTGTAAAAATACAATGCAAACATGCGTTTTACAATCAGCCAATACAACCAGAACGCTTCAGTAGCATGATAAGTTTAAGGCTTTTAATCAAATTGTTCATTTTATTGAAGTACCCAATCTTTCTCTTCCCTTTGAAATCTGTGGTTTTGAAGTAGCGTCTAGATACAACATTGGATTGTCATGGCCTGGCGGTTAAGAATACGGCTCCGGACGCATCATGCTCTGTTGTTTCAGAAGTCAAATTTGCACACATACATGTATATGTGTATGTATTTGATACTGGAGAGATTTTGGGGTGAGAAAATTGGATCCAGATTGAATAACCTTCTTGCTACTTTTTGGTCTTTTTTTATTGTTTTCTCATGTGCATATATAGTGAGAGATATAAAGGAGATAACTTTATGACCACTGGACATGGGAATTAATTTTCATCAATTATTTAGTGTGAAAATAGGGCACAAAATGGACAACAAAAATGTGACATGCAACATAAGGGGTTAGAACTTTTCTATTTCCTGATAAAATGTTATCTATTTTACTTTTTTTTGACAACTGATTTTTTTTTTTCCCCATCAATGGTTCTTGTTATAAATACCAGACTTTCCTATGGAAAATACTTGAAAATTCTGAAAAAAATGAGGAAATACGAAAACTCTTAACGTTTGTAACATTTGGTGTCCAATATGTTACAAACATAACATGGGCATATTAACAACAACTGAAAAACAGACATGTCCTGATTGACAGATTGAAAGTGGAGTGATTGTGAACCCTCATCAGCAGTTACGACATAATTATTATTTAAAAAAATTATCGTCTCCATGTGCTTTCCATGTACCTACAAAAAAATCATGTTTAACACAAACCATTTAGGCTACCTCACATTTCATTTTCCTCCTACATAGAGTGAAGCAAATTGAAACAATTCGCTTTAAAAATATATTTGAAGTGAAGCTACCCATGAATACATCTTGTACTGCCTATAGGCCGGGCCCTGGCCTAGGCCCTTTTTTTAGCACTTTCTGACGGATACAGGATAGGTCACTAAACATGCTAAAGCGTAAAGGGGAAAAATTAGTGATGGCGCGATATGGGAATCTTTCAAACATTTTTTCCAACAAATCTTGCTTGTTGACTTTTTACTAAACGCAGTGGCAGCCGTAACGCATTTCCCATTTTCTATCGTTACGGTAGACTGCAAATTTTATAAAAACATGAGAAGAAAATATAAAATTAGAAGGAAAAAAGTGAATTTGAACGTTAGGAAATTTTGACTTTATTTCCCTTTAAAAAAAAATCCTCCAAAGCCTCAGGTTAGAAAAGGAAAAAAATTCTAGTGCAAAACTGAGATGCGATAGCCACTTCGTTCGGTCCTCTTTATCGCTTTTTCTACCATATCAAGCTACTTTTGATGTTCAAAAGCATGTACAAAATGTGTTGATGCTCGTTGACGACCGTTGAGTCTTGTTGACGCTTGTTGACGCTTGTTGACGCTTGTTGACGCGCTTTAGTAGGACCCCGGCCCCACTTCGTTTACTAAAAGTCGACACTAAAAGTAAAAGTTTTTGTGTGAAGCACTGAAGGCAAGAACCCTCAAGTTCTTCGTTGTCCGGAAATTGGACAACTAATCAGACTGAATTTTTTTTCGACATTTGGAAGCTTTACCTTTACATAAAATGAAAGTAGACTTATTATTCACAAAATGGCCCTCAAAATAACACAAAATAAACGTTATTTACAGTTTGAGTACTCGAGGTTGAAGCAAAATGATAATTGACAACTTTACAATAACACTTTTAACAGAGAAATTAAACGGCATACCAAAATCAAAATACCGCCAAGGACCAGACTATTTGGCTTTCTTTTGTATTTGGCCACCAGGATAGTTTGGGTGCCATACTTGCGTCGGCAATAATAAAGAGTGCGCCCACCAAACTAAACTTAGCCGCGTTATGAGCCCAAAACCTAGCCGCGTTCTTAGCCGCGTTCTTAGCCGCGTTCTCAACCGCGGTATCAAAATCTCAAACACATACAGTAAAAGGTGGTTGCTTCTCTGTTTGTAATGAAAGGATTTCTTGGACTTTCCCAACGAAATGTTAAAGTTATACAATAAATGTACTATTTTTTATGCTTTCATCTAACCAAACCTTCTATTGGGCACGTCATATTTTGGAGGGGGCCAATTCGGTCCACTAATTAGCTGTTAATTACGGCCCTATCGAGGAGTCTCCATTTTCCACTCTAAAAGTGCACAAAAGGGAATGCTGCTGACCTATAACACCCCTTTAAAACAAAATGTACCCCACATAGTTTTATAAATTTGAATTTTTATTGCATAATCCATTTGATCCATCTATTGGGAAGATCAAATTTTGGAGGGGGCCGATTCGGCCCACTAATTAGCTGTCAATTAAGGCCCTATCGAGGAGTCTCCATTTTCCACTCTAAAACTGCACAAAAGGGAATGCTGCTGACCTTTAACACCCCTTTAAAACAAAATGTACCCCACATAGTTTTATAAATTTGAATTTTTATTACATAATCCATTTGATCCATCTATTGGGAAGATCAAATTTTGGAGGGGGCCAATTCGGTCCACTAATTAGCTGTCAATTAAGGCCCTAATGAGGAGTCTCCATTTTCCACTCTAAAAGTGCACAAAAGGGAATGCTGCTGACCTATAACACCCCTTTAAAACAAAATGTACCCCACATAGTTTTATAAATTTGAATTTTTATTGCATAATCCATTTCATCCATCTATTGGGAAGATCAAATTTTGGAGGGGGCCAATTCGGTCCACTAATTAGCTGTCAATTAAGGCCCTAATGAGGAGTCTCCATTTTCCACTCTAAAACTGCACAAAAGGGAATGCTGCTGACCTATAACACCCCTTTAAAACAAAATGTACCCCACATAGTTTTATAAATTTGAATTTTTATTGCATAATCCATTTCATCCATCTACTGGGAAGATCAAATTTTGGAGGGGGCCAATTCGGTCCACTAATTAGCTGTCAATTAAGGCCCTAATGAGGAGTCTCCATTTTCCACTCTAAAACTGCACAAAAGGGAATGCTGCTGACCTATAACACCCCTTTAAAACAAAATGTACCCCACATAGTTTTATAAATTTGAATTTTTATTGCATAATCCATTTGATCCATCTATTGGGAAGATCAAATTTTGGAGGGGGCCGATTCGGCCCACTAATTAGCTGTCAATTAAGGCCCTATCGAGGAGTCTCCATTTTCCACTCTAAAACTGCACAAAAGGGAATGCTGCTGACCTTTAACACCCCTTTAAAACAAAATGTACCCCACATAGTTTTATAAATTTGAATTTTTATTGCATAATCCATTTGATCCATCTATTGGGAAGATCAAATTTTGGAGGGGGCCAATTCGGTCCACTAATTAGCTGTCAATTAAGGCCCTATCGAGGAGTCTCCATTTTCCACTCTAAAAGTGCACAAAAGGGAATGCTGCTGACCTATAACACCCCTTTAAAACAAAATGTACCCCACATAGTTTTATAAATTTGAATTTTTATTACATAATCCATTTGATCCATCTATTGGGAAGATCAAATTTTGGAGGGGGCCAATTCGGTCCACTAATTAGCTGTCAATTAAGGCCCTAATGAGGAGTCTCCATTTTCCACTCTAAAACTGCACAAAAGGGAATGCTGCTGACCTATAACACCCCTTTAAAACAAAATGTACCCCACATAGTTTTATAAATTTGAATTTTTATTACATAATCCATTTGATCCATCTATTGGGAAGATCAAATTTTGGAGGGGGCCAATTCGGTCCACTAATTAGCTGTCAATTAAGGCCCTAATGAGGAGTCTCGATTTTCCACTCTAAAAGTGCACAAAAGGGAATGCTGCTGACCTATAACACCCCTTTAAAACAAAATGTACCCCACATAGTTTTATAAATTTGAATTTTTATTGCATAATCCATTTGATCCATCTATTGGGAAGATCAAATTTTGGAGGGGGCCAATTCGGTCCACTAATTAGCTGTCAATTAAGGCCCTAATGAGGAGTCTCCATTTTCCACTCTAAAACTGCACAAAAGGGAATGCTGCTGACCTATAACACCCCTTTAAAACAAAATGTACCCCACATAGTTTTATAAATTTGAATTTTTATTGCATAATCCATTTGATCCATCTACTGGGAAGATCAAATTTTGGAGGGGGCCAATTCGGTCCACTAATTAGCTGTCAATTAAGGCCCTAATGAGGAGTCTCCATTTTCCACTCTAAAACTGCACAAAAGGGAATGCTGCTGACCTATAACACCCCTTTAAAACAAAATGTACCCCACATAGTTTTATAAATTTGAATTTTTATTGCATAATCCATTTGATCCATCTATTGGGAAGATCAAATTTTGGAGGGGGCCGATTCGGCCCACTAATTAGCTGTCAATTAAGGCCCTATCGAGGAGTCTCCATTTTCCACTCTAAAACTGCACAAAAGGGAATGCTGCTGACCTTTAACACCCCTTTAAAACAAAATGTACCCCACATAGTTTTATAAATTTGAATTTTTATTACATAATCCATTTGATCCATCTATTGGGAAGATCAAATTTTGGAGGGGGCCAATTCGGTCCACTAATTAGCTGTCAATTAAGGCCCTAATGAGGAGTCTCCATTTTCCACTCTAAAAGTGCACAAAAGGGAATGCTGCTGACCTATAACACCCCTTTAAAACAAAATGTACCCCACATAGTTTTATAAATTTGAATTTTTATTGCATAATCCATTTCATCCATCTATTGGGAAGATCAAATTTTGGAGGGGGCCAATTCGGTCCACTAATTAGCTGTCAATTAAGGCCCTAATGAGGAGTCTCCATTTTCCACTCTAAAACTGCACAAAAGGGAATGCTGCTGACCTATAACACCCCTTTAAAACAAAATGTACCCCACATAGTTTTATAAATTTGAATTTTTATTCCATAATCCATTTCATCCATCTACTGGGAAGATCAAATTTTGGAGGGGGCCAATTCGGTCCACTAATTAGCTGTCAATTAAGGCCCTAATGAGGAGTCTCCATTTTCCACTCTAAAACTGCACAAAAGGGAATGCTGCTGACCTATAACACCCCTTTAAAACAAAATGTACCCCACATAGTTTTATAAATTTGAATTTTTATTGCATAATCCATTTGATCCATCTATTGGGAAGATCAAATTTTGGAGGGGGCCGATTCGGCCCACTAATTAGCTGTCAATTAAGGCCCTATCGAGGAGTCTCCATTTTCCACTCTAAAACTGCACAAAAGGGAATGCTGCTGACCTTTAACACCCCTTTAAAACAAAATGTACCCCACATAGTTTTATAAATTTGAATTTTTATTGCATAATCCATTTGATCCATCTATTGGGAAGATCAAATTTTGGAGGGGGCCAATTCGGTCCACTAATTAGCTGTCAATTAAGGCCCTATCGAGGAGTCTCCATTTTCCACTCTAAAAGTGCACAAAAGGGAATGCTGCTGACCTATAACACCCCTTTAAAACAAAATGTACCCCACATAGTTTTATAAATTTGAATTTTTATTACATAATCCATTTGATCCATCTATTGGGAAGATCAAATTTTGGAAGGGGCCAATTCGGTGCACTAATTAGCTGTCAATTAAGGCCCTAATGAGGAGTCTCCATTTTCCACTCTAAAACTGCACAAAAGGGAATGCTGCTGACCTATAACACCCCTTTAAAACAAAATGTACCCCACATAGTTTTATAAATTTGAATTTTTATTACATAATCCATTTGATCCATCTATTGGGAAGATCAAATTTTGGAGGGGGCCAATTCGGTCCACTAATTAGCTGTCAATTAAGGCCCTAATGAGGAGTCTCCATTTTCCACTCTAAAAGTGCACAAAAGGGAATGCTGCTGACCTATAACACCCCTTTTAAACAAAATGTACCCCACATAGTTTTATAAATTTGAATTTTTATTGCATAATCCATTTCATCCATCTATTGGGAAGATCAAATTTTGGAGGGGGCCAATTCGGTCCACTAATTAGCTGTCAATTAAGGCCCTATCGAGGAGTCTCCATTTTCCACTCTAAAAGTGCACAAAAGGGAATGCTGCTGACCTATAACACCCCTTTAAAACAAAATGTACCCCACATAGTTTTATAAATTTGAATTTTTATTACATAATCCATTTGATCCATCTATTGGGAAGATCAAATTTTGGAGGGGGCCAATTCGGTCCACTAATTAGCTGTCAATTAAGGCCCTAATGAGGAGTCTCCATTTTCCACTCTAAAAGTGCACAAAAGGGAATGCTGCTGACCTATAACACCCCTTTTAAACAAAATGTACCCCACATAGTTTTATAAATTTGAATTTTTATTGCATAATCCATTTGATCCATCTATTGGGAAGATCAAATTTTGGAGGGGGCCAATTCGGTCCACTAATTAGCTGTCAATTAAGGCCCTAATGAGGAGTATCCATTTTCCACTCTAAAACTGCACAAAAGGGAATGCTGCTGACCTATAACACCCCTTTAAAACAAAATGTACCCCACATAGTTTTATAAATTTGAATTTTTATTGCATAATCTATTTGATCCATCTATTGGGAAGATCAAATTTTGGAGGGGGCCAATTCGGTCCACTAATTAGCTGTCAATTAAGGCCCTATCGAGGAGTCTCCATTTTCCACTCTAAAAGTGCACAAAAGGGAATGCTGCTGACCTATAACACCCCTTTAAAACAAAATGTACCCCACATAGTTTTATAAATTTGAATTTTTATTACATAATCCA